AAAGAACGATGTACTATAATTAATAACTTACTAGTATGTGACTTGTTTGGCCTCTAGTCAGACAAATCACTTTACTTCATTAATTGATTTTAACTTCAAAAACTCATCTCGAGAGGTAACTACTGATTTTCAGGCGATCTATATTTATAGACCAAATACCTGGGTACTCTAAGGTCAATATATAAATGAATAAGTATTTGTAAAGTGATAATAGGAATCTCTTAAGAAGTATGCAGTTGCTTACTCTTGTTAGTTGAAAACTCAATATTTTTCCCAAGCTATTGCGATGGGTTAACAAATGAATAAGTATTTGTAAAAAAATAATAGGAATCTCCTAAGAAATATGCAGTTGCTTACTTTTGTTAGTTGAAAACTCAATATTTTTCCCAAGCTATTGCGATGGGTTAACCTTGAGACTTGGAAATCCCTCGAAGCCACCCTTATTTTTCCGGGTAAAAGTCTGCTGCTGCTGCTGTTTCAAAATACCTTAATCCCCTCTCGGGACGATTATCTAAGACTCCATGCGCTCGCGTGCTAGTTCTTTTGAGCGCTTTTCAAAGCTAATATATCTGAAATCATTTATATTGTCAGTTTCTTTGAATAATATTGTTATTTTATAGTTATCAGGAAGTATTTTTTCTACATATTATATCTTCAATAACCATAGATTTTTAATAAGGTAACGCTGTCATCAAATAGTTTACAAACTTCATGATAATTCGAGTCATTCTAATTGGTAACAATATATTATCGCCAGATTTCAATGTGGACTCTAAAGTGAGCCGGCAAATGAAGAGATCAGGGTCCCGTTGACCCGGAAGGGCGGATTTCTCAATGGGCATATGTAGCTCAGCAGGTGTGAACCAGTATCAATACTCGTAGAGGAGATGGGAGGGGATCAAAAACCATAATTTCAACTCAAGAAGCTCCACTTCAGACCCGTGCCCCAATGTTAAACGTCAGAGTCGTCCAAATCGCCACGAATTCGACGCGCAATTTGCCTCGTGCATCTCCAAACGAGCGAATGTTCGGTCCTCCGCACCCTTCCCATCTGCTGATAATCATCCTCGACTCAAAAGGCTTATTTTGGTCACAGGAGTCACACTCATCAGCCGATAATCACCCCATAATGAGACAGGGGATCACATCCGTACCAACTCTAGCGACCGCGATGGAACAGGACATATCAAGTGGATATTTCAGGTCCCTTTTTTTAAAATTCTCTTATTGATGTAGTGTATCAATAAAAACCGACTGGCTTCATCAAACATTTTTCTTGTTTCTTCAATTTCTATTATTTATTTTTGAGCATACACCATGGGTGCATGAAAAGTCTTACTTCTACTATGGCTTCTGGGCTGCAGAACGCAATTTGGGTTGAGCACTCGGCATTTCTTCTTTCAGTTCATTAACATTTCCGTGGAAGCTTATTTTGGGGATCTGAACGCGAAGGCTAGAACAAGGAAAAAAGAAAAACCCATTAAGCCGACCCATACTGAAAGGCACCACCTATTACGCCGTTCCAGAAGACTGCTCCTCGCCAAGTAGGACAGCAAAAAATCTCGATGGTGCGTGGTACTTCCAGCACAAAAATCGTGTTCCTGGGTCATTTCATGCAAATTCGACTATCCCATTATTGGAATTTACGGCTGGGGATGATCGGCACATACTGAGAACGCGGTAACCCTTCTACCCTAAAGTATTCTTACCCAGTTTTCGACGATCATGTTGGCGTGGCAACACAAGCCAACTAATACTGGGTTGCGGTGATGGATTACCAGCAGAACTAGTACTTGTTCGTAGGGAAAACTTTTGGAAAGTGCCTTTCCCCAAAGAAGGTATGCATAACGGTATCAGTACTGATATCTAAAGCTACCAGTTGCAATAGGGTCTAAAAAAGGTTAGAAAAGCCTCATTCTCTAGTCATGAATGATTAGCTCTGCAAGTGACGTTCGTGGACAGCGTCATCTTCGAGTCGAGCAGGAGGAAACGTGAGGTTTGCGATGAAAGCGGAGGAAATGGGAGCTGCACTGAAACAAGAGGCATCCGCTCTTTGTGCACAGCACTTTTTGCATCAGAATATCTTAATAGAATATACATGGACATGGAGGCAGTCATTCGGAAACCTTCTATGCAATATTACAGAAAATCGACCAGTCTGGAGGTTACGGATCAGGGGGAGGCTAAACAAAAGGGGAAATTAAGGAAACCGCAAGGCACTTTGGACCTCATGGATCACTTTGGAACATAGAAAACATGGGGCAGGGCCACCTGTGTTTGTCACTTGTCACTCGCCTTACTACTTTTCCGATTGATATTTACCAGGTGGACTTTCAAACAGGTGCTGCTTCCCAACAAAGCCTCCTACTCCCAGTAATGTGGCCCACAAGCCTCAACGAACCCCCAAAAGTAACATCCAGGTGCTTTGCATCGTTTCTAAACTGAATGACAGTCCACATTATATACTTTGTGCAAACAAACCGTCGTTTTGCGCTTACGATTTGTGTACGGAGGCTAGTTAGCAGCAGTGGCAATTCAACGTGCATGATGGAAAATTCCATGATTCCATGAATAGAATCCCACAAAAACGAACTACAACGTGTGAAATAATTTCGGGCGCATTTTCCAGCTCCCACGTGTAATGAGACAACCTTCGCCAACTGGGTGCTATTATTCGATCGCGCGTTAATTTCACCCCCATAGCCTCGATCCCTGTCGGAAACAATTAGAGCGATTTGGCTAGCATAGCCAGTCGGTTAGCTCGTAGCGCCTCTTGAAATCGGTTTCCGCCTTTTCGGGAAACATAAATAGACTTTGTCCTGCGCCGGTACGTCATCAAAAGGGCTCTGTCCGTGTCCGTGCTGCTGCCGCTGTGAGAAGGACCACCCGAGTCGATGCGTGGGGGTGGGCGGTCGTCGGCTGACTGCGGCTGCTCTGCGTCTCTGGCAGGAGACGATGGACAGCCTCCACGTCTGCCCCCTGCATCAGTATTCTGTCGTCGTGTGAAGTGACTGCAGCTGGCGATTCCCTTCGAATTCTACGGAATTTCTTGTCCACGGCAAGATGAGCGATGCCAAGGAGAGTCTAATGCCTGGTCCACAAGGTAGGACACCACACTTCTATGATGTTGATCGTGGAGTGAAGACCGAAAGCTACATCACAGCGGTGTCAAGAAATCCGGTACCACCAACTCAACCGCCACCACAAAAACCATCGGCTACCTACAGTAAGGTAAGTTTTTCAAAAGGTTCAATTGAAAACATGGAAGTTTCACTTTCCCTTTCCGAAATTGGAATCTCTCCGAATGACCTTTGAATGTTTCGGCATAAATGTGTCTGATACGATTATTCTCCGTTTGCACCTTGTCAATGTCAAGCCAGGAGCAGCTGCTACCCTTCAACTACCGCTTTTTGAATTCTCTCTTCTATCATTATGATCGATAGCTGGTAGCACCTTACTGTTGCAGTGGTAGGAATTTCTTCTTAGACGTTTACACTCATCCGGATCAGTTATTATAGCTTATGACACAAACAGATGTTCATCCAGCCTCAGCTGGTAACTTTAAGACCCCTGAGGGTATGCTTTGCTTCGAGCTGAGCTCAGGNCTATCATTATGATCGATAGCTGGTAGCACCTTACTGTTGCAGTGGTAGGAATTTCTTCTTAGACGTTTACACTCATCCGGATCAGTTATTATAGCTTATGACATGACCAGATGTTCATCCAGCCTCAGCTGGTAATTTCCAGCCTCAGCTGGTAACTTTAAGACCCCTGAGGGTATGCTTTGCTTCGAGCTGAGCTCAGGGAAGCCAATGAATGTACTTTTCACTAGGAACATTTAATTGAGAGTATACTCTTGATTAAAACTAATATGATAGTGATAATTAGTGATAATGCCTTGTGTTTTTTCTAGGTATATGTATTCATATATAAGGTCTAGGAATGAAACAAAACTCATTTTTTACTACTAAATGAGCGAGCGCAGTAGTGGTCCAAGTCGGGATGAGGTTTGTCTGCTCATCTTTTTGTAGGGTTAGAACACTTCGGAACGACTAACGACTACTAATGTGACATCGTAAAACACTGCTTTCTGAATTAACAATGCTTTGAACAGAAGTTCTCCATTGAGCGGAAGCTTTTCAGGTAACTGAAGAGGTATCGGTCGAACCAGAGAGTACAGAGCCACGAACGAGGGACGAAGATACGGTCGGCCTAACAGAAGAGGAACTTGAGCCCTATCGAGATGATCCGACTTGGAAGACCGTTAGGTTTGTCCAATTCTGTGAACTCGTCATCTAAGAGACCGTTGAGAGTGGCCTCACAGATAGCCCTTTTTNAATAAGCAAAACTGAGTAAATAATATATTAATAAAGTGTGTAACCTCGATTGCATAGCCTAATAAGAACATACTACAGACCTTTGAGGAAGACCCCTCATCCCCCTAATGACATGATTCGATTGGGTAATAAGTTTACTCGGCAACATTAGGCCCTTGTGGTCCGTGGTGGAGGAGACCATTCTGTCGGGCGCATTCTATCAATAACAAATTATGCGCTTAGCCCCGCCTACTTCTTAGACCTCTTACGGCGGCCAGTGTTAGTAGATGTAATCGGTCGCGTAAACAGATGTCGTAGATGATTGTATAGAAGAGGTGCGATCTCGTCTTAGCTGGTTGTAAACCGCAACGGAACGTTAGGGTCAAGCCCGAACATGAAAGAAAAGTCATGTGAGTGGGTGGTCCTGGCAGTATTTACCCTCCCGTAGAGCTTCACGAAATTTCCCGATTTCATCAAATAATACTGTTTTGTCGGGGTGGTTGTGGGTGGGGAAAAAACGTTCCGTACGAGTTTCGTTCTCTGATACGCCATCAGTTTTCAATCATAGTTTGTTTTGAAGATATTTTGCGGTTTTACCTTATCGATTGAAAAGGTGAAACAGATGAGAAGGGAGATAAGAAGGGGAAAAGTGGATTGTAGACGTGACGGAGATGAAGTGAGCAATGTCGCTGACAGTTTTTTTTTTCACCTGACATTTCGTTGACAGTTGGTTACAATGGGTGTCAAAGAGAAGAAATCGTTTTGGTCGTACTTAGGTACCCATCAGGGAAGCTAAAAAAGTAGCCCAGACAGAAAGTCATCCTTTATCATTCAAATATCAAAGCCACTGATGACTATAAGATTGAGTCGAGTGCATGGCGCATTCTAAAGAGATCATCCGGTCCAGGGTAGTCATCTTCCAAGCGCTGCGAGCCTCGGTTTACAACGGATTTTCGTTTTTATTTCTTTCGATCCAATTGCTTTTTACTTCATATATCGTTGTTGCAATCTTTCGGCTGACAGTTCCAATCGATTTGCTATCGATCGATTGCTTTGTTTTTATTTATTTTCAATTTTCACTTACTTATGCCCTCAAATGTGCACAAGGTCCAAGGCACAGAATGAAATGTAATGTGCCTGTATAGTATTTGTTAGAAGTTCTTATTTTTCCTGTTTTTCCATTCTAATTCCGATTTTACCTAATTATTCCGTTTTTATTTATTCTTAATTTATTTTTTTCTGTTTGATGCTCTTTTAACATGAATTTTTTGCCTTTTTCCCCATTTTTTCTTCTCCTTCAACCAGACTATCCCTTTTTTCCACACAGTGTCGTTTCGGGTTTCTCTCTTCTCGTCCCTATTCTTTTGCTTTTGGTTCTATAGGGAATCCACCAGACAGATCACTAGTCTTTTTATGTTTACGTTTCTGTTCGTTTGTTTACTTCCAGTGGTTCTATTCGGCTATCGGCCATATCACGATGTCATGACATATGTTTACATCGTTTTTCATCCATTCATTTTCCCGTATTACTACTGATCCTCTTCATTGCTTTTCTGTTTTTTCCTCCTATTTCTCTTCTCTCTACTCCTTTCTTTCTTGAAATTGCATGTCTTGTTAGTCATCACTTTTTCTTTCGATATGTTTCTCTCATCTCCTCCGACAACATCATGAGAATGCACGCATAGCGTCATATGTTCGTATATCATGTTGTGTGTGATGAGCGTTGGTCGTCGATCGTTCTTCGATCGGCTTACACCGATAACGAAGAACGAAAGGAATCCCCTTGGTGTAGATGATCCTTGCACTTGATAAGTGCAAATACCTATCAGCTTTAGACCTTCATACTGTCTATACCAGATTGTATATAAAGAAATTGATTGTTACAAGTATTCTATCGAGGATAATTTCAGTAACTTTACCAAGTTTGTAGAGCAATCATGAAAAGTTTATGTGATGGGCATTATTGGGCTACGGTGGCAAGTGGCGCACTTCACACAAGCATGGTCAGGGGTTCGAATCCCGGATCGATAACTGCCTAGGCCAACCAAGCCTCCCATCCCTCCGGGGTTGGTTAATTGGTACCAGACACGTCTGGGGGGATAAAAACGCTGGCTTGTACATCGACTGGCCATCGCAACTCATTGTATAGGCTACGTACGCATTCAATACGTCACTACGATTCTGAATGGAAGTCGAATGCGGGGCGCATCTCTAGAAGTTACTGGTTAACGTACCAAGCTCTATCCTTTATTCTTAACAAGCATTATCAATACTACAAGTTAATTTTTCTTTTTTGAACTTTGTTGAACTATATTTAGCAATACCTTTTACCCATTTTTTTGTCCACCAACTCAAAATCACCGATGTGCCTTAGAGGAGTGTGGAAATGGTGGTTAATCCGGGGTGAAGAGGCGAAACGAACCATCTTTTACTACTTCTTGACTGTTTGTTACTTTATAACGCTTTTCATTCTGTTTGAAAAGTTCCACTGAATTCTACTTGTTACACTTTACTTACTTGACTGTTTGAGTGGAAATCTGACAATTAAAAATGTCGATAGTGGCCTAGTGTAGCCTCGCTTGCACTTTTGGCAGGGCGGATTTGCCTGATGGAATGTCCAACACAATGCGACGCCCTCTAAGACGAATTTTTCATTCCCTTCATTACTTCATGGGTTCCCGAATCGATTTGTGGGGGTAGGCTTAATTGAGCATGGCATCGTCTTCGTATGCTCCGTCTATCCTCCTCCGTTCCTAATAAATGCCCTTCGGCTATCTGTTTTGGGGGAGACATCCTATAGGGATATTTGTCACGGTATCGAAATGACAGAGCAGTGGAAGCAACCCATTAAGGTCGAAAAAAGTGAAGGAGAAGCCTGAAGAGGCAGCGGAATGAGGGAATCGCGTGCTGTTGGTTTTAATTTGGATCGGAACAGAATGAAATGAGTTCTGGAAGCTCTTTTTCCTTATGGCGCTAGACCATGTCCTAGGGTACCACTGCCTCTCCACTGCCTCTCCCTGTTTGGCCTTCATTCTCGAGGAGGGGTCGTTTCTTTGAAGGACAATGCCCTGCTTAGCGCCGCACGACCGGGAAAGTACTGGTTTCGTATGAGCTTTTGTTTTATAACAAATCTATCTTGGAAATCCATAGATCTCTCTGTCTTGCACATCTGGGACGTGATCGTACCTATGAAGAAGTAATTTCCTGCGTTTTAGGATTCTTGCGTCATTCATGGGATTTTTTGCCTTCATAGCCTCTACTTATAGCCCCTCATTCAACCTGAGTACCCTTTCAGTAGGTTGCCTGCAAAACCAGATCTTCACGGAAAATGTGTCTCAAAGTGGCATCACATCGCTGTCCCGTGATTTGATGAGCTGTCCTAGCCAGAGACTGGAAGTTTTTTTTTTCGAGAAAAAGTGTAAATACTTACTGGTTCTCGATGTTCTTGGTCATTCAACTGTTCAGAATCCTAGTGGGAATGGATTGGGCGGTGGGTCTTGAAGAGAATGATCGATCATGAAGAATAACCTCTTCGTTTTTCTTGGAACTATTAGGGCTCAGCAGCCGACCTTAGTCTTTCTTTAAAGAAAAGTTTATTTCGCATTCTTTTCAAAAATTTAGAATGAATAGACGCTTTGTGAATATGCATTAATCATCGTGGAAAATGGCTGAAACATCAAATTTTGGGTTATAAATTGCTATATTATGTTATGAATTAGTATATAAACATACCCAGTTAATGGTAAATTCAAAAGAAATCTGGAGAGGGACCTATTTGTTGGAGAGCACCTCTTGGGACGGCCCTGGATGTGAGACAAGCGGTATCTTCAGTTTTTTTTTCTGGAGGAGATAAAGGGGTTACTGTTAGAGAAGACCCTCTAACGAATTTTCAACCAATTATGCCTTTAATGAACTTTTTACTAAGATTTATGAGTAATTTGTGATGACTTTGCTCATATACGTGTACTTCTTTACACAGGTATGTACTTTTTTGAAACCAGTTCTACCAAAGTTATAATTATGTGCCGTGGAGAATCCGGTTCATCCACTTGACACTTCTTTTTACGCCCCTGATTTTCGATGAATTGCTTCATGATGAATGTGCTTTTGTTATATCGGAATTATTACTGTTCTGGAATATGACAATACATCTTTTCGTTCGACAGTTCGGCGCTGTTATCGACAAATTCTGCCAGTCCGACCTTTCAAAAGGCCTTTTGAACAAATGTCGGCTCCATTCGGCACTTTGCACTTTCTATTTGGTCGCTCCATAGGAAACCGCACTGTTAGTAATGTATCCGTTCGCTTTGATGTTCGGGGAACCGCCCCAACTGACAGGCATGTCACCCTCATGAGGAATGATAAAAAATTGGTGGGAATCGAGCTCCACTCAACTTGGAACGGCATAGGTGGAGTGCCCTGTGGCGCTGCTACCACGTGCATTGTCCAGCAGGTAAATCCCGGATCAAAACCCTCCTAGGTCAATCGAGCCTTTCATACCTCTGTGATGGGTTGGGTTTATCGGTAACAACTTGTTAGAAACTTTAGTACAGAAAATTACAATTACTATTTAGTGCTTATCTAAACACTTCAATGGCTTTCCTTTCGAATAATCTCCAAATAATCTGTAAATCAAACAATAACAAATACTGGACTAGTGCGACGCTTCTGCACAGGAGTAGGCACGGGACCGATCAACCTCAGAAGTTTTCTCTTACAAACTTCTATTATACTTTACTTCATTTTACAGTTATTCTTTACCCAATGGCAGCGAGGTTATGGGAAGCTCCCTCGGGGGTGAATTCTCTGAAACAATGCTCACGTAACCATAACAACACTCGTTCTGGTCGACGGGTTGTCTACCGGACCGCTCATTATGTGTGAAAATAAATGATCCCAGATGATATCAGCTGTTTTCTCTTCGCTGTTCACTTTTTTCTCCGAGTAGTAATTTATAGTTTGGGGAGGAACATTAATCACGAT